TCCTACTGTCATTCCCCAAATTCTCACCTTTCCCTGCTTCCCTATCTTCTTCTCATCCACCAACCAACGTAACTTATATCTGCCTCCCATCTTCAGTTATAATTATTGTTTCATTTATACCATATCTTTCTCCACAATGGGGACCCAAAGCAGCTTACATCATTCTCATATCCTCCATTTTATCCTTGCAACAACCTGTAGGATATCTTAGGCTTAGACTGTGTCATTGACTCAAGGTCACCCAGTTAGCTTCCATGGCAAAATGGGGATATGAACCAGATCCTTCTCTGGGGATATGAACCAGATATGAACTCTACCAGATCCTAGTCTGAAACTCTTAACCACAGCTTTCGTGCTGAACAGTAGCAAGCAGCAAGGCCTGGGTGAGTCATGCAGATCAAGTGGTAGCAAGTCACCCATGAATTGCTGCCAGGCCTGGCCCTAGTAAGTCCTCCCTTGAGGGCCCTGTCCCCTCTCACTGCATGTTAATGACAGAAAACAAGGTTTAGTGCTGGTTGTACTGATGTAGTCGCCTAGCAATGGTCACTGAGGGCATCTATTTCTTACATGTGCTCCTTTTATCTTTTTTTGGGGGGGGAGGTTAACACCTCCTGCTTTACATTTCAGTTTCTTCTGTAAACCAGGGACTTTTCTTGAGTTTATAAAAAAGATATGTCTTGTCAGCCCACAGCCTCAAACTCTGGATTTAAGTGTCCATAGATGGGGCCCTGCTGAGAATTAGATATGTTGACATGACATTAAACAGTAAGCACATAAAATGATAATGTAAAGAGCATTTTTAAGCATCTATGATTTGTTCTGAAAAAATGTTTCTTGTGGCTCTTATATAGGAGATAGAATTGCTTCATTCTAAGTTTGAACTCAAAGCTTTAGGTTGCGGTCACATGCACCAGAAAAAAAAAGGGGGGGAAGCTAGGCTATTTCCCCTGGAGGAATTTGACCCACAGTTGCACGATCACACCTCCTTTTGAAGCTGCGGGCGCAGTCTGTCAGTGTGTGATCAGATGCAACTGCAGGTGAGTCAGGGTTTTTTGTGCCTTCCCCCCCATGCGATTAAATGAGGGATCAATGAATTGCACATCTGCACTGAGGGCTCCCTATGGAGTTTGTGATGATGTGCATACTGCAAAAGGGGGGAAAAACAACAGCACTGAGTTGGGATGGCCTGATCAGACCATCCCGACACCATGAGAGCGCGCTGGAGAGATCAGACACGGGAAAGTCCGCCTGTGGCCCATTGCAACCCATTAACTACCAGATTTTCCCTGGTATCTTTTAATTCTGCTTCTGCAGCAGAGCAGAACAGGTTGCTGACGGCTGCGGGAGGCTTCCCAGATGTTGTCTGATCATGCCCTTTAAATCTGCCCAGCATTCGCACCTATATCAGGTCTAATTGTGCGTATGATTGCAGCCTTATTGTCTTTTTTAGTGGGGGGAACATTTTCAAGTTGACAAGATGTTGGTATCCAGTCTAGGGTCCCGGTCACATGGGCCGGATATCGCGGGGGGGAGGCGTGGCTAATTGCCCCGGCACAGTTTGATCCGCGATTACGCAATCAGGCACACCGGCGGCACACCACGGGTCCTTCCCTCGGCGCCGGCGGGTAAACGAGGGGGGTGATCACATGATGATCCTGCGGCGCGGCAAAGAAGCGGCGCGGCGCGATCACACCAGCAATAGCTAGGCGCCGCTGCCATGGCAAACGGGGTCATTTATTTTCTTTTAAGCAAAGGACGGAGGAGTGGAACTTTTGGTTTCGCGTTCAACGGCATGCGTGATTCTGTGCAGCAACGGAACTTTCGCTTTCCTCTTCATGCGCATGCGCCATTGGGTGCTTGTGCGCATCCTGTGGAGACTTGGGGGAAAAAAACCTTTTCGCGATGGGACATGGGCTGGTGCCGGATGCCACGAGGTACCACCGGAAACATGATCAGACGCCCGCCCTTGCCCCACGGTTTCCGGAAACTAGTACCTCGGAGGTACTAGTTTTTTACGGCGGATCTTTGACGGGAAGCCTCGGGTTAGCCACGGGAGCTCTATGCTTCTCAGATGTTGTGGTTTGATTGCGCCTGGAAAATCCGCCTATCTTCCGTCTCTGTAGCGTGGCTAATGCTCCATGTGACTGCAGCCTAATATGGTGTAATATTGGAATATGCCTCAGATGACCTAGGTTCAAACGTCACTCAGCCACAAAGCCATGGTTCAGTCACTCTGTCTCAGCCAAACCTATCTCACAAAGTTGTTCTGAGGATAAAATCAGGAGGGGAGAATCTCATATACCACTCTGATCTCCTCCGAGGAAGGGTGGACAAAAATGAGGTGGATAATGCTATTATATGGACCAATGGTAATAGGATTGCTTCAAGGGGAAAATCAACAATTATATTCATGGATAATGCAGTTGTCTCCATGGAGACTAGTTGTGGTTTCTGTCTCTTGGAAAAGCTCTGGTCTGGATTCACAGTACAGTGAATAGATTGAAGTTCAAAGAAGATCTTTACAGATCCCCCTCATGGCAATCACCTGACCTACCATAAGTTGCACCTCAGAGATGCAATGGGAAGGCAGAGATGCAGGGAGATGCAATGGGAAGGCTGCACTGGGGATTGGTGGAAACCATCACCACTCATATGAGCTTTTGGCATGAATGGAATCAGAGAGGGAGGAAGCAAAGGGGATTATTTCTGTCCATCCATCTTCCCCAGTCAGCCACTTCTACTGCATCCCATGCCATTTCTGAGGCTTTCCCAACCCACAGGAGTTGCTTTTGGGGTGGCACAGGGGACTGCTGTGGGAAGAGGAGGGAATTAGAAAAGATTCCTTCTGTGAAGTTGTCTACTTTGTGGTAATTTGTTTCCTATCCTTTGCTAAGTAATGATGCCCCCCCCATCTTGAATATCCTTCTGAACCCCCAGGGGTCTCTGGATCCCCCATTTGAAAAATGATGTCCTAAACAAAATAAATTATAGTATTAACGTTTTTATATTACAAATAGTCTGAATTTGAACTCAAAAATAGAATTCTTTCAGAATTTGGAGATGGTATAATTCAAATTCAGAACAAGACTTACATTTTGTGATTATATTATATGACATACTATTATCCAATATAACAAATTAAGAGTCCAGTGGCACCTTTAAGACCAACAAAGGTTTATTTATACCTGGAATTTATACCTGGAATAAACCTTTGTTGGTCTTAAAGGTGCCACTGGACTCTAAATTTCTTCTACTGCTTCAGACCAACATGGCTGACCATCTGGTACTATCCAATATGTATTTCTTTAACCAAACGTCTGCCCTATTGATGAGGAGCTGTTGAAATCAGGGACCATAATGTTTGTTCCCATCCCTGTTATATAAGCCGTTTACTCTCTAGCTGATGAATGTCAAACTCATTTGTTCAAAGGGCTGGATCTGACATAAATGGGACTTTGTGGGGCCAGGCCATGTGTGCCATAAATGTAATGCCAAGTAGCAGAGATATAAACTTTATAAAAAATACAGACACAATTAAAGATTTTTTAAAACTTAAAATACAAATATGCTTAAAACTTGTGATATTTTGTTTATTTACTAGTCTTTGATAACTGACACCTCCCAAACCTTCCCCCACCCGCCAAAAAAGATGCCTGCCTAAAATGGAAAGATTGGGGAATAGTGGGGTTTGGCAATGCAATTTTTAAAATAAAACATCAAGAAAAAGCACAAGGATCACAGCAGAAACGAAAAATATAAACTAAACGTATAAAATGCTCTGGGCCTAGGAACATGAAATGGCTGGGCATTGCAA